ACTACCAACGCCACTCCTTGCTAGAGTAACAGCAGTATGGCTGCCGACTCCACCAAGGCCCACTACAACCACTCGGGCATTCATAATGGCTGTTTGCCCTTCCTCACCGAAGAATTGGAAGTTGCGAACGAATTGCTCGCCCATCACTGAGGAGAGCAAAAACGTATCCAGAGGTTCACTCATGTGCCACTCAGATCTAAAGATACTTTTTCCGCCCGGAATTACCAACATCGTCCTTCTCAACTTCATCCTTGATTTTCGTGGCTGCTTTCCCCTTCTCCAGAGCGCTATCCAGCAGACGCCTTTCTCGAGATGAGCGGGAGTATCGAGATATCCTGAGGTTAAGCGTGAAAGATTCAAAGTAGGTCCGAAAAGTACCCCAAAGTCAAAGCCACAGCAGCTCCAGTGGCCAGACCCAGGCCGGCCAAGAAGGAAGAGACGTCGAAGGAAGAGCGCTGTAGAGGCATTATATACAATATGTTACTGTTGACCTTCTTGTGAAAACAGGATTATACACGAAGTCTGAAATGATAAATTATCAGAAACCTATAATGTTTCCGGGGGGAACTATTCTTGAATTTTCCACGTACGGCTAGGAACACATTATTCAATCAGTTTCCTATGTAAATGTCATCATCACATCAGCAACAACATTTTCCCCATTGTTATCAAATCCCTGCGGACGTTATCTCTAAAAGGTAAATGAGTGCCTGTAGATTTTACGAGTCTATACGGGTGAAACGTTCATCAACTCTAAAAGGGAAAATAGAGTATTCCCTTAGACCCCAGTGTAGTGCCGTAGAATTGTTGATCGACATAGTTCTTGCTAATCTTGCAAAATCGTGTGTTTCCTCAACGCTTCCGGGCGTGTCACGCTTCGGAAAATCTTGAGGTTCACCGCCAACCTACTTTGAATCTTCTGCGCTCAACTTCAAGATACTCGTTCCTCATTGCAAAGGAAAGTATCCCTGATCCAACTTCCGAATAGTTGCATAGATTCGCCTTAGTGTACAATCCCTCCCTCAGTAAGGCTGC